ATGCCAGCACCCGCAGTGCCCTCGGTGCTTGTCTGAGCAGCAGACCTGGGGGCCGTCCTGCGGGCGCGGCGGGGAGGAGCGCGGCCCCGCGCTCTGCAGTTCAGTGTGGCCTTCTCTCGCCCTCTTGGTCCGGCTAGCTACGGTATCAATTTTGTTGATCTTTCAAAGCACCAACTTTTTGTCATCAATTTTCTTTATGGTGTTTCTTATTCTCTATTTCATTTTTTCCATTTTGATCTTTACCCTTCATTCATACCCTTCATTCCGCTTGCTTTCAGTTTAGTTTACTCTTATTTTTCTAATTTCTTAATATGGAATGTTAGGTTCTTGATTTGAGATCTTTCTTCTGTTTAACACAGGCATTTGCAGCTGTGCATTTCCTTCTAAGCACTGCTTTAGCAGCATCCAACAAGTTCTGGTTGTTGGTAGAAAGAGTTAACATAACAGGCCTGAGTGGCCTTCCCCGGGAGGGACTGCTTGCAGGGTTGGCCCCTGGCTGGCATTTGGGAACTTAGATTTTGGGAGATTCCCACCAATCCCAGACCTGGTAAGAGTTATGCCTTAACTGTTTGTACAAACAATATGGTTTATGCTAAACCTGTGCCTTCCTTTTAGCAATGTGGAATTTGGTATTTGCCAGAGGGAGTGTGCCTACACGGCCAGCCCCCAGCCAAAACCCTGGGTTCTGAGTCTCTAGAGAGATGTTGGCAGCACTTGCTGTTGTGATTCATTGCTGGAGGAATTAAATGCATCCTGTGTGGCTCCCCTGGGAGAGGACTCCTGAGACTAGTCTCCCCCATCCTCGCCCCTGGGTCTTTTCCCTTTGCTGCTTCTACTTGGTCTCCCTTTGCTGTAATAAATCAGAGCCGGCATTTAGTACAACTGTGTGCTGAGTCCTAGGAGTCTTCCTAGCGAGTTACCGAACCTCCGACACATGTGGTTTTGTTTTCATTCATCTCAAAGTATTTTTAAATGTCCCTAGTGATATTCTTTCCTTTGATCCTTCGTTACTTTAGGTTTATATTCTTTAATTCACATACTTGTGTGTTTCTTAAATTTCCTCTTTTTATTGTTTTCAAATTTCATTCCATTGTAGTTGGAAAACGTACTTTGTATGACTTAAATCTTTTTCATTATATTGAGACTTGTTTCATGACCTCACATATGGTCTCTCTTGGAGAAGGTTCCACACGCACTTGGGAGGAATGTGTATTCTGCTGTTGTTGGAATGTTCAATAAATGTCAGTTAGGTCTAGTTGGTTTATAGTGTTATTTCATCTTTTATTGATATTTCCTTGTTGTTCTTGTGTCTAGTTCTATCAATTTTTAAAAGCGAAGTATTGAAGTAGACAACTATTATTTTTGACTTGTTTATTATTCAACAATAAAAGTCTATTATTTCTCCCTTTAATTCTGTGAATTTGTGCTTCATGTATTTTGGGGCTTTGCTGTTAGATGCATATGTGTTTATAATTATTATGTCTTCTTGATGGATTAAAACTTTTATTCTTAATGAAATAAGCTATTTTCTCTGGTAACCATTATATCTTAAAATTTATTTTGTCTAATATTAGTATAGCCACTCCAGCCCTCTTTTGGTTACTTTTTACGTAGTATATGTTTTCTATATTTTTGCTTTCAACCTATTTATGTCTTTGAATCTAAAGTGTACCTCCTGTATTGAGTCATTTTATTAATTCATTCTGCCCATTTACCTTTTGATTACAGTGTTTGACCATTTGCATTTAATGTAATTATTGAAGAGGCAGGATTTATATCTGCCATTTTGCTATTTGTTTTCTACATGAGAATTACAATTACTATCCTGACTTATAAAATCTAAGTTGGATAAAACCAACTTAATTTCAACAGCATACAAAATCTTTGCTTCTATGTAGCTTTGTATTATACTTCTCTTTCCTCTGTGCTATGATATTACTGTCACACAAATTAAATCTTTATGCATTATGAGTCCATCAGAACAGCTTTATATTGCTCTATGAGGTTGTCTTTTAATTTTGGTTTGATAAAAAGAAGTTAAAAATGAAAAACATACACTGTCTTTTAGTTACCTTTACCAGTGCTCGTTTTTATGTGGATTTGAGTAACTTTCATGTCAACCTGAAGGATTCCCTTTAGTATTTTTTACAGTGCAGGCTTGCTAGTGACAAATTCTCAGCTTTTGTTTATCTTGGAATGTCTTAATTTTTCCTTCATTTTTGAAGGACATTTGCTAGACACAGGGTTCTTTTTCCTCTAGCACTCTGAATATGTCCTTTTACTGCCTTTTGGCCTCCATGGTTTCTGATGAAAAAGTATCTGTTAACTGAGTCAAGAATCCTTTGTGCATGATCACTTTCCTCTGGCTGATTTCAAAATTCTCTCTTTGTCTTCTGACAATTTGAATGATATGTCTCAGTGTGGATCTCTTTGAGCTGACCCTATTTTGTTGAGCCTCTTAGATGTGTAGATTCATGGCTTTTGTCAAATTTGGGAACTTTTTGGTCATTATCTTTTGAAATATTCTTTCTTGAACATTCTTTTCTCTCTTTTCTCTCCCTCAGGAGCTTCCGTGGTGCCTATGTTAGAATACTTGATGGCAGCACACAGATCCCTCGTGGCTGTTTATTTTCCTTTGATCTTATTTTTTCCTACTCTTCAGACTTGATAATTTCTATTGGTAAGTCTTCAAGCTTACTGCTTTTGTCGTTTGCCATCTCAGATTGCCTTTGAAACCATCTACTGAATTGTTCATTAAGTTACTGTATTTTCAATTTTAGAATTATTCTCTGCTCTTTTTACAAAATTTTTAAATTTTTATAACTTTTCTTTATTGAACTTCTCTCTATTGATGTTTCTTGTTTGGTGATATATCATTTTCATACTTTATTGAACATATTCAAAATAGCTGATTTAAAATAATTTTTAGTAAGTCCCACATCTGGGCATTCTCAGAGACAGTTTCCGTTGAGTGTTTCTTTTCCTTTATGAGTCATACTCTCTTGTTTCTTTGTATGTCTTGTAATGTCTTGTAAAATAATAGGCATTTTAAACGACACAATGTGGCAACTGTGGAAATGACATTCCCACTCCCCTAACCTAGGTTCATGGTTGCTGTTTGGTGTTGTTGCTGTTTGTTTACATGTTTACTTTTTAAAACTAATTTTGTATGCTTTGCTGTATGTGGTTACTGAAGTCTCTGCTTGGATATCTTAATTGTCAACTAGTAATTAGACTGAAATTTCCTGGAATGCCTTGAGCCAGTAAGTTTCCAGCTCTTGCTGAGGGCCGTGCAGCGGCAGGCAGCTACCACCGGCTGTGCCTCCCAGCCGCCTGTGCAGAGTCAGCGAGAACCATGGCCCTCTTGGGTCCTTTCCCAGCCTGGTACAGCCCTGCATGGGGACACAGCCTTCTAGACTCCTAGGGACTTTTTGTAGCCCCTAGGGACATGACATTCTCATTTTGAGTTTTTTGGGCCACTTCTTATTTGTCCCAACTATTTTCACCACCTCAGGCAGCTTCGATGCTGAACAGTTGACACTGATTGTTTTCCCTAAACACCCTGCAGGAAGAAGTTGTTCCCAGTGAGTAAGGCCCTGAGTTGGATCAAATAAAGATGAGCCCAGTGAGTGGGGGTTCTCCCAATTGTTAAATCGCCAGAGAACTGGCAGACACATCCCGTGAGGACAGGTTTCCAGGAACAGGGCTGGGGGGAGCTACAAACACATTCATTCTCCTCCCATGGCTGCTGGTGTTCATGGCTGTGGTGATCTTAAGGCTGTTGGTTTTCAAGGTGGTTCTGGGAAGAGGGGTGGAATAGGGCAAGTTAAAATGCCATGAAGCTTGATATTCTTGCTGAGAGTGAGCCATTTTTCTTGAATAATGCTGCTCTGATTTTTGCAAGCCTTTGGCTAATTTCTAGGGTTCTGGAAAAGTTTTGACAGTTTTTTTTAAACAATCTTTGCAGTGTTCTCATTGCTTATATGGAGGAGTGGATTTTTGGAGGTTCTTACTGCACTATGCTCACTGACATCACTTCTCCCAGCTGATTCTAATGCAACCGTGTGTACCATGGGCTGCTGTTTGCAAACAAGGTGTGCAGAGTAGCTTTCTGACTTCTGGTACCTCAAAACTGACATTTATTGAATTTTTATTATTGTAGCCCAAACTATTTAATATTTCTCACTTCCCAAATGTCAAGTTTAGTTTCGTCAAGGAAGGATAGAATTTGTAGCTGTGTTGTCTTTTAAGCATGTGCCCTAGGGACAGGCCCAGGGAATGGAAATGATTGTTCCAGCCGAGGTCCCCTGTTTGGTGGTGAGGTTGGGTAGTTTGTGAGAGATTTGTGCTCATTCAGCCCTCAGTGACTAAACCAAAGCAAATCAGTGCATAAATGCAGCAGTCTAATAGTAGAAATCAAAACTTAATTGTTGAAATGCCAGCACTATTTTCTGTTTTAGGAAAACTTTACTTCTATGCTGGTAAAGTCACTTTCTGTTGTTGGACATTTAGACTCTGATGACAAAACCATTTATTAGTGTGAACTTTCAGACTTTGGACAGGTTTTCAAGTACAGTAAGAGTTTGCTAGTAATAAAATCCAAAAGACTTTTTCTCAAAAAAAAGAGAAAAATGAAAATAACCAAGATGAAATTTGATTATTTGTTATTTCCAATATATGTTAGGGATGCAGATATATTCTAGTTGATTAAGTGTCAGAAGAAGCTGTAGGTTAAGGTGTTATTGGAAACAGCCCCACTGCACTGAGCCACTTTGAGGGCAGAAGATTGCTGTGGGTCAGCTCACTCCCATGGCGCTGCTACCTCTCCGGGCTTCTCAAACACAGTGGCCATTGTTACCACGGCTAATTATTAGTCTGCTCCAGCAGAATTTGTGTTGATGTTACAAAGACTGTTTACGCTACACAAGCTCTTTATTCATGTAATAATTAAAACATATTTGTCTTAAGTATTTCGCAAGTGTTCTCTTTGGATAATGCTGGCAAGATTAAGTAATAGGTTCTTGCTCACATTATTGCTCAAGAACATCAAACGTGATGGATTGATTTGATATAACATGTATGCCCTTGGCTCCTATCATCTTTAGGCTTTTGCTTTTCTTACGTATCAAATAATTTTATTGTGGTGCTGTGTCTATTGTTTCTAACACAAATGCCAGGAACCACTTCAGTAAAATATTTGATTGTGATTTTAATGGAGAGTTTATATAATGATCAAGAGTAACACATGCAAGCCGGCCAAACATCGTCCAGAAATCAGGGACTTCAAAGAGTCTTCCTTTTAGAACTCTAAAGGAACTGAAATTTATGTTTTTCCATATCGTCCAGCTTACTCATTGGCAATAAGTAACTGTTGGCAAGAAGCACGCATCACATGGTCCCGTTCCTGCCTCAGAAAGGTCAGCAGGAGGCCTGGACACTGGCCTGTGCTCAGCTGTGTGCCCTGGTCCTACGACACGTGGTTCAGAGTGCGTTTCGCAATGTTACGTGGCTGATTAATGGTCACTTGCACAAGAAGTTTTTCATTACCCTTACTGCAAACATCCTGGGAATGATTAACTTTGTGACATAACTCTCATCACACAAAGATGAGAGATTCGAACAGAGCTTCAAAATTATGTACTTCAGAAATAACCAAATGTGTTTGGGCTTCTTAATGTGTGCGGGATTAACAACTGTTTTAAAGCCAGTGAGTGAAATAGAGAAACCTCTTTGGGATTTTTCTTTTTTTCTTTCTTTCTCTCTCTCTTTCTTTCTTTCTTTCTTTCTTTCTTTCTTTCTTTCTTTCTTTCTTTCTTTCTTTCTTTCTTTCTTTCCTTTCTTTCTTTCTTTCTTTCTTTCCTTTCTTTCTTTCTTTCTTTCTTTCTTTCTTTCTTTCTTTCTTTCTTCTTTCTTTCTTCTTTCTTTCTTTCGGGTTTCAATGTGAGATTGGTTCATGTGTGAACACTATTCTACCATATTGTAATTTTATCTTTCCATATTCTAGTTTGTTGTTGAAAATGTCAGATCCATTTTATAGCACTCCATCTTATGAGCCAAATATTGAGTATACAGTTGCTTTTTTACCAAACATTTTCAGAGCTACAAAGATATGAGTCACATATTCCCACACATGATGGAAAGTTGTGGTGATACTTGTTATTGGGTTCATTCTGCATTTTCTTATAGATTTTCGAATCTTATCAATCGAGTGTGGTATGAAATGCTGGAAGCATGTAGACCCTGCATTGTGAGTAGAAGAAACTCGACCTAAGCACCTCAGGAGAAAGGTAACTTCATTGACTCTCAGGCCTGAGCTGTGGAAGGACAGGGGAGGGACATCCTCAGGGACAAGGGTGCCAGGGTCACAGGGCTGCAGGGACACCTCCCACTTCTCCTCACACACGGGGTCTGGTGGGTAGCCGCATTCTTCGTGCCTGTCCCTGCAGACCAGCTCGCCCACGGGCAGCTCCCAGACACGCACCTCACTGCCAGGAAAGGAGGGTCCTCTCTTTACTCCCAACTCAGAAACTCCCAGGAGAGGCCTCCGACGGGCCTGGATAGGATCATATGCCTCCCTGTGGCCAGGGAGGTGGCACCCTACGATGGGAGGACGGGGCCTCCTCACGAGAAGAGAGGGCTGCTGTCCTGGCCTCCAAAATCAAAGCAGCCGCTGAGAGCCAACTTGACCACATCAGCCATCCTTTCCCCAAGACACCCCTCTTGCCTTAAGGCATGTCGTCTGCCTGCTCAGTAAGACGCCCAGGGTTCCACCCAGCACCTGTGCCAGCTCTGAGTGCAGGTCTAGGTCACATCGCTCCTCTCCGGGCCACTGGCTACCTCCCTGGGAGGAGGTAGCCAGTGGCCTCAGTGCTGTTAAGTCCCCTCGCACCATGTTCCCAGTGACCCAGGGGACCTCTTGCAAATGGGGAAGACCACGTCCCGGGTTCCCGTCGATGCCGTGTTCCACACGCCGGGATGGAACCTGACCCAGCCAGCAGCTCTCAGACATCCGCTTGTTGACCCGGTTCCCTGGCAGCCCCTTGACCCCTTAGCTAGGCCCGAGGCCAAGGTTCTTAGGTTCTTGCTGCAGGAACAGTGGGGAGAACTTCCCACCCGGAGTCTTTACCCCTTCCTGGTTCATGCACCACCTCATTTTTGTTTGTGCAATTTTAGAGGGTCCTGGAGGTCGTCACTGGCTGAGAACAGACCTTACACCTTGCTTGGCTTTCCATAGGTTTAATGCAGAGAAGGAGCCCTTTGTCTGACAGCCATAACGAGATTCTTGCCGAATTACAGTGCTGCGTCTGGGTCGTGCGGATCTGCCCCGGCAGCTGCCTCTGGACCCTGCCTGTCTCTAGCCCGCAGCTGACGGCGACCGGCGGCCTCAGAGCAGCAGCAAGTGCAGGGCTTTGGAGAGGGGCTGTGGCCTGCGCCAGCTACGGCCCCACCACAGGGACCTGGGCCAGCAACTGGGGCAGCAGCAGGGGCCACTGCCAGGGAAGTGGGTGGTGTGGAGACAGGGCATGGAGAAGGCACCAAGGCCTGTGTCAGAACTCTGCAGGGGACAATTAACCCTTTGCACTCGGATGTCGAGTGTGACTCCACACGGCTGGCATCCGTAGTAGGTCGTATGTTGAGCCACACTCGACATGTAGTTTCACCACGGGGGAAGGGGGATTTTTGTCTGTTTTTCCAGTATCTTTTCTTGTTTTCATTAGCATGAAAGTAAAATGTAAAATGCAAATGCAGAGATGGCACACTAACTTCCAGGAGTAGATTATTATCCACTGACTTAGAGCGATGTTTAGATGGAAAGCTCCATATAATCACACCTCACCCTAACAAAAAGCACAAAGACTGTGTTGTTTGTTCAACAGAAAAATCAAAGGAGGAAGAAGAGAGATGATTTATATTTGCAAAATATGTGAATGTAAACCAGGTCTTCATGTGGGTGAATATTTCAAAAAATATCACACCATGAAACATTATAGAGATTAGAATTACTATTTGAAAGTATCAATAATTTGAAATATAAAATTCCAAATAAATATGTTGTATGAAAAGAAACGCCAGTTTTTTATTCTGCCGCGCTTTGTAAAATCTGGGGCATTTAAAATATTAAATCCCAAGTAGAATAAAGGAATCGAGAAAAAAGCGAGTGCAAAGAGTTAACACTGCTAGAGCTTGAGCTAAGAGGAGGCGACTCCAGGCCTGGCCAGTTTCAGGGGCGCTGGTCTGCAGTCTGAGGCGCTTCCGGAGCTCAGTCTCCTGTCGTCCTCTCCCTTGCCGGCCGCTTCCCCGCGGAGAGGGTCGCCTGCCGCCCCAGTGGCCCAGCCTCCTACGCGAGAGCAGGGGCTCCTACTGTCACCTGCCTGGAGGTGTCTGTGGAGGCTGAAGGCCCTTGGCGGGGATAGGGGCAGCAGAGGGTGCAGGAGACGCCTGCCACGCTGGGTTTTAACTGCAGCAGACAGCCGTGCGGCGTGCTGTGGGCCTGCGTCTCCAGGGTGTTAGGCACGCCTTTGCCGCCGCGCAGTGGGCCCGACACCCAGCGTGCAGCCTGTGGTCCCAGCGACCCACTCAGTGGTTGCAGCTCTCCAAATCCCTGTTGCCACCAGCTGAGTAAATATGCCCGGCCAGGCAGGGCCTGTTCTCCCGCCACTGTGATCATTGTGTGTTTAATGAAGTATGTCCACTATAAGTCGTCACTTCATTCATGTTGGCTATTTGTCATTTTGTTTTCTCAGAAGATGGTAAAAGCCCAGTCACACTCATGCTGGGCTCCTCAAGGCATCTCCGTGCTCACACTCAGAGAAGCGGGAGCCCTGCTTCCTGCCGCGGGCGCAGTCCTGCCAGCCGCTGCCCCAAGCCGATCCGGCCACACCAGTGGGCTTTTCCTGAACGGCATGGCCCGTTTCCGAAACGCAGCGTCTAAGGAAGAGAACACTTGGCTTGCTTTCTCCTGAACAGTCTCTGTGACAGCCCGGTGAGTGTGAGCAGTCAGCCTGCGGCTGCACGTTCTCCTCGCAGAGCACAGAGAAGGGCGGAGGGGGACCATCGGCCTCCTCCCCCTAGGCCCTGCACTCGCGCTCCTCCTTCCAAGAACAGGCTCCGTAAAACCTCCTTTGTTGGTGCTCTCGATTGCTCCACGTGACGGCAGTGGCGCACAGCAGTACTGCTGTCACTCTCCTTCCGCTTCTCTGGGAAAGCTTTGATGTTCTCTGCTCGGCCTCCGTGCTGGGGCAGCGTGTGCTTGCAAGCCAGAGGCGCCTCGGACCCTGGTGCCTTCTCCCGTCAGGTGGTTGAACACTGGATTGAACCAGCTCCCGGGGACCTGCTGTGCCTGCGCGCCAGCCCCTCCAGGGAGCGGCCAGCACCCTGCTCCGTGCTGCGCGGGAGCTGACGCCGCTGCTTCCTGGAGCCGACGCGCCCGGGCTGCGCTGGCGTTCCAGAGCTCCTCTGCGGGTCACAAACCCCGGGTCGTAATTGCACTTAGCGTTTTTTTCCTAGCGCTGGCTTCCCGAAGAAGGACGTTTTGTGTATTGGGTGTGTGTTTGAGATCTCCTTTTGGCAATTATTTTGGAAATGTTCAGAGGCCAAAAATAGTGACAAGCTAGGCTTCCTTGCTGGCTCCGTGTGGTCCCGAGGGCTGTGGCACACGGGGCTCTGCTGAGAAGCGAGACTGACCACCACGCGCAGCGCTCCCGAGACCCTGCCCGGCACTGCCCTGCGAGGAGGTGCTGGCAGGGACAGCAATCATCTAGGCTGTAAAACCCTAATGCCCATCGCTAGCAGCTTAATCTACACGCCTCCTTGCAGAAGTCTTTTGACCTGTACGGGAAAAATGGTATTTAAAATCTGGGTTAGTCAAGAGGGTGGAGTGAGCTAAGTTTAGTGGAGGCTAAAAATAGTCCCAGCTGCAGCCTTGGGGCTGGGCCCTCTCCTCCCCCATCCCCGAGCCGCGCCCTCGGAGGCCTGTGCGTAATTCTAGCCAGCCTGCAAATGTCATTTCTAGGATTGTCCCAGCTGGTTACTCATATGTCAGATCCCACTCTCCTGTGCTTCACGCAGCGGCTGCATTTCCATAGAAAGGTGAGTCACACCAGGGCTGGAAAGCAGGGAGGGCGCCATCAACCGGAAGAAGGAGGTGGGGACGGAGCCTTTTATAGCTCTCTGGGCGGCCTCTCCATAGGTTAGTGTTCTCTTAACAACCAAGATAAGGATGGCCCTTTTATGAGAAATCTATTTCAGTACAAGGGATTATACGAACTTCTTTTTTTAAAGCCAAAGGCATTTCTTTTGTGGTTCTCAACTTATAAATAAAATCTATTAACAGTTGTTTAGTGGGCATTTACAGTGCTGACTGCCGTGACTGTTTCTAGCACATTCCCTGCACACCATTTAGGGAGGCGCGGAAACAGCCCCTCTCTTCTCCTGGAGGGTCGCCGGTGGGTATCAGGCCCCACTCGAGGCTGTGCTCCTTGCTCCAAACAGATGGTGATCTGCAAACTGAATGCTATTCTGGTGTACTTATTTAGAAAAAAGATCTTAAAATAGACTTGAATAAGCATAACCTGCAAAAATAAGTTGTCAGCTTCTTTTTATCCTGCTGGGTTGAAAACAAAGTTGTCAGCAATTTCCTCATGTTGAGGAATCTGTATGCTTTCTTATTTTAGAGAAAGCTTTTCAGGGGGACTGTGATTGAGTCTCCTTAAATCTTTAAATGTCAACACATCACCACCTGCTGCTCTGGAGCCTCTCAGACTGATGGGCGCTCCCCGCCTACTGCGGGCGATCGCCTGCCCTTCTTGGGGTTGGGCCTAGCCCAGATGCAGCCCTCTTTTTAAAGTTGCTTTGTGCAGCCTCTGCAGCAGGAAACCACATGTGACGGTCATCCCTGGCCTCGCTGACACTGTTTTCTCTGAAATGACCCCACCCGCTAACAGAGTGATGCACACCCCAGAGAGAAGTCAGGAACGGAACCGGATCTTGCTTCACGTGGGAGGGGGGCTCCCTTGGACACGGGAAACCAAATGAATATGGAAATGGCGCCTCCCTGGGTGAAGAGAGGTGCGCAGAGCAGTCCCAGCACGCCCACGGTCTCCCTTTGGCGGTCAAACGTCCAGGCCTGAGCAGCCGGGCTGGCCCTTGGGCCGCCGCCGCCACAGCGCGTGCTGGTTCTCGGGGGCTCTGCGCGCTCCAGCGCGACAAACTGGCTCTGCCGGGAAGCAGGTGACCGGGTGGCGAGTGGCGCTGAGCCAGCAGAGCCGGTCCTGCAGCTCCGACCTCTGAGAAGGCCTCTCTCAGCCCTGCTTACCTACGTGAGCCCTCTCCAACTCCAAGCAGCTCTGTCAACCTATTTGTCCCCCAAACCAGACTGGCACCAACAGGTTCTGCTGCTTAGAAACGTCTCCGTTCAGCTTCGACTGTGTTTGAAGCTTCTCGTGCTTTCTGGAAAGAACAGGAACGGAACAGCTCCTGGTCCCCACTTCCCAACACACAGCGCGTCGTGTGCGTGCACGCCACACAGTGTGCAGGAGAGGCCGCTCCTCCTGGCGGGCGCGGTGACGCGCCCGGGGACAAGAAGGACGAAAGCAGAGGCGTGCAGGGACTGCGAGGCCTCAGAGAGCAGGCGGCCAGGGGGCGTCCAGGCCAGCGGCCCTAGGCCGAGAGCCAGCGGCCCCACCGCCATCAGGAAGGCCAAGGCTGGGGCTGTGAGGTCAGGCAGCCCCACTGTCACTGTCACCGGGTGACAGGTCAGGCCTGGACAGACGTGTCGGTGGCTCCTGCCTCTCAGTCTCCTGCGGAACTGCCCCGCCAGAGTCCTGTGTCGGCTCACCAGCCGGATCCTTTAGTTCCGCCGGCTTGTAAACGGCGCTGTGGGGATGGGAGGTGGGGGTGTTTCCACACACACACACACCACACCACACACACACACACACACACACACCACACACCACACACACACACCACACACCACACACCACACACACCACACAACACCACACACACACACCACCACCACCACCACACACCACCACACACACAACCACACACCACACACCACACACCACACAAGCCACACCACACACCCAACACACACACACACCACAACACACCACACACCCGCACCAACCACCACACACACACACCACCACACCACACACCACACACCACCACCACCACAACACAAACACACACACCACCCACACACCACACACCACACACACACCACCACACACACACACACACACACCACACCACACACACACACCACACACACACACAACACACACACACACACCACACACACACCACCACACACACACCACCACGGACACACCACACACACACACCCACACA